GTTTTACTGGGTTTTACTGGGTTTTACTCAATTTTTGGGGTGAAATAATAAAACTTACAATATTACGTCAATTTGTTAATTTAATGAATTTTATCAAGATTTATCAAAAAAGTTCAATTCAAAATGCCAGGAACACAAGAAAAATACGAATTTGAGCAAACTCCAAGTTAAGCTGTAAATTATGATTTTTAGATCATAAACAAAAATTCGAAATAAATAGAGAAATTTACGGAATATAAATCAGAGTACTTAATTCGAGTTAGATATGCACCTGCAAACTAATTCTATTGATTTATCTATTTGAATTTCAGATACAACTTGGTAATACCCGAGTAGAACCCAGTAAAACCCTAGTAAAACCCCTTTAACATAGTAAACCCCGCTGGGTTTTATTAATTTACGACCCAGTAAAACCCTGTAAAACCCCAAAACCCCAACCCAGGAAAACCCAGGGTCGGAATACCCTGGTCGAAACAAAAAATCGTCACGTTCGACTCCAACACGACGACAGCTTCACTCGCATACCGTGTCCCGCGGATGATTGTGATCTCGCCTTTAAGAGATTTGACCACTTGAGGAATCACTTAAAAAGAAAACATCCCGATGTATCTTTCCCAAAAATTAGGAAGTCTGGGGACAACGCTTCGTCCAACAAAATCCCATGTCCTGTCTCCACCTGCGACAAAACTTACTCACGCAACGACCACCTCAATATCCACATTCGGGCGGCGCATCCAGATGTTCCGGTAAAATCAAGGAAAAAAGGAGCGACACCGAAAAAGTCGAGGCGTAGCGAGAAAGAAAAAGGTATCAGAAACTTAACCCATATGTAAATTTATTAAATATCTCAAGCATTTGATGACAAGGGCCCCAAACTCGTGGGGGATAATAGTCCCCCCAGGAAGATATTAATCTACACCCTTAAAAATAAGAAGTAAACTCTACTAAATCCAGAGTAAACTTAGCTCTTATCAAGTTTACGCTACTTTGGATTTAGTATAGTTTACTTAATAAAGAATTTAGAGTGCATTCACTTTTACTCTTTTACTTTTAAAAGGGTAACTTTATTTTTAAGATTGCACAATTTCTAAATTCTTGCATTTATGACTCTATTTTCAGATAACTCTCCACCTTGCCCTGACGACGACGGGATATTCGACCCTCTCAAGTGTTCTGTTTGTTTTAAAAAATTCAGCTCGGTTGAAACAACAGATCGTCATTTTCGACATCAACACGACGAAACCTTTATCCCTTTGCTGTGTCCGTCGGATAACTGTGACCTCACGTTTAAGAGGAGGGACCACTTAAAGCGTCACTTGGATAAGATACATCCTGACTTTGTCCCACCGAAGGGTACACATACATCTTAACTGATCCAAAATGTACTAATTTAATACTAAATTAATAACAAATATTGAGCCAATTCACTCAGTCCTTGGTAACTTTGTAAAATCCGTAAATTCTGTAAAATTGCAACGTTTTACAAAATCGTTCATATATTTCTAAGGTTAATTGGCTTACAAATCTGTAAACTTACTCAGATTAAGGGCAACGTTTTATTTCGTAAAATTCTACAAAATTATTTTACGAAACCTACGAATTTTACGAGTTACTAAATTACTAATAACTGCGTGAATTGCCTCAATATAAAATCTAAATAAATTATACATCACATTACACAAATTTTCAGTCGAACCCTTCCCCCCTACGGACTCCGACTCGGATTCAATCCACAATCCCCTCAAGTGTTCTGTTTGTTTCAAAAAATTAGGCACCGTTGACACAAAAGAACGCCATTTTCGACACATGCACGACGAAACCTTTACCCGTTTACCGTGTCCGGCTGATAACTGTGACCTCTCCTTCAAGAGAAGGACTCACCTGCACCGTCACTTAAAAAGGAAACATCCCACCGTCCCTTTTTTCACCATGTGCAGCAGGAGCCGACCCGTCCGCAAGGACGATTTCGAACACCTTGGCGACAGAATCCCGTGCCCGGTCGCCACCTGTGAGAAAACTTACTCACGCACGGACCACCTCAACACACCACATCCACATCCGGACCACATCCACATCCGGACCACCCATCCTGACACGCCGGTAATAAAGGGGTCGAAAATGGGGAAAAAATACGGATCAAAAGTGCCAGAAACAAGACCGTGTCCCGTATGTGAGAAGAATCCTCTCGATTCAAGGGGCACATGGAAACGCACGCGAGCGAGGTCAGTGTTTAACAGGGGCCGCGGAAGCGTGGGGACGTAGGGACAGTCCCTTTGATTATTCGATCTCCACATCATCTGCCAATGTTATTGAGACGAGACCCCTCCCTCTCCTATCCTACATTATTTATCTCCTCAGATGTCCCCTCCCCCGCTTCCGCTGCCAATTATTTTTATGCAAATATTTCCTCAAATTATATATTTCTGGAAGGTAACATTTCTTAAACTTCTTTCTTCTCCTCTTAGAAAACCCACCTGTGCAACACGTGCGGAAAACTCTTCCGGACCATGAAATCTCTTCGCCATCATTTGAAGACCTGTGTCAAGTAACTGACGACGATGCTAATGCGTTATTATATTTTAATAAAGCAAAATGTGAAATAAAACTAAATAAAAAATATGAAAAAACCTTTATATTTTTAGTAATTTTACTCATGAATCTTTGCAACGTGCGTTTTTTGTTACTCAGATTGACTTAGAATAAGATATATAAAAAATGTCATCATTCTTCATTGTTAATCGTCTCTGGAAGTGAATGAATACAGAAATGCTTAGGTAACATACGTCGGATATGAATGAGGAATAAAATCATATGTACTACATACATAGATATATGTCGCATATTTAGTAGCATCACTGTAAAAATCCAACATGGCATGACAAAGAACATACATAATTTACATGCGTATGCTTAAATGAATGAATTAAAAATTCATATCAGAGTAAAATTTACGGAAAAAAATCGCCTTATTTGATAAGCATTTCCGGCAAATACTATTTTTGAGCCCGGATCGAATCGTGCAAATTCAAAATAACAATAAAACTGCGTTGCAGACACGTATTAATTTCCGGACGTTATATGTATGTAAAAATTTCAGAAATATAAATCGCAGATATTAACTATCAGATACATATACATATTTACATACATACATATGTATATACATATATGTATACGAAACTTCATTTACAGTACGTGACGGACGAGAATATGTAACTCCAAAAATTGTGAATAAACAAATACATATTTCTTGGGAAAGTCTTTGGAAATTTTTTCCTTAGTTGACCTGAAACTGGTCAGAATTTCTGGAGACAGAAATAGAAGTCTTGGAAAAGCTGCAAAGCTCTACCCTCCACATTCCACCGGAATGTGCTCACACCTACACTCCAATTGGTTGACTGGGACTTGAACGGGTATCCATTTTTGCACATTTTTAGGAACTTCCCTTCACTCGCGTTTTACTCTTCTCCAAGTCACCAACCAAGCCTTAAAAATATTTCGCGTAACAGTGAGAAATTTAGTTCCTGAATGAACTCAAACATTTATTTAAAATGGAAAGGGTGCCGTTTTACAGTGTCGACGAAATCACCCCGACCTTCGATACGACCGATATCCCAATCGACCTGCTGTACGAGGATTTCGATCCCAATCAAAACTTGGACTGGGTCGACAAACTACCAGAATTAGGTAAGTGCCTCAATATTGGTTATATATTTTTTTCCCTTTCCACCACGTGTTCAGGTCAAAAATATTGCAGCGTTGAAATTTGAAATTTGAAACTTGAATAATTCCAGCTTCTGACACTGCTCTGGAGAAAATTGCGGTCGCTCCCCGTCAGCCCAGCACATCGCCAAGTGGATCGCCGGAACCCCTCCGACCTGCCTCTCCCCCTTGCCAAACTGAGACGAAAAGAAAATTAGCCAAGTTGGTGAATGATAGAAAAAAAGGTCACAACGCGGCTGGGACATCAAGCCCCCAATCGTCCCCGGGGACACCAGACCATCAAGTGTCGCCCCCAATCGTCTCCCCAGAACCACAACGACCCAGCCCGGTCGTCCGAGTAGACTCTACTACGATAGTTCTTCGTCCAATGTCGACAGGTATGTTTCGAAATATTTCGATTAAATAGATTCAAATAGGAATTTCCAAAATAATTCTGAATAGAATAAAAAAAAATTTTACGAGTTTAAATTATCTATTAAGGGGTTATTTTTAATTCTGATTTTGAATTGTTAATTTAAGAGATTTCTAGAGATTTTTCTATTTTAAAACAGCCAAATCTCTACAAATTTTTGGTGGTCATATGTGCATCTGTATAATTACAATTGTACTAATAATTGTACATATGTTTTAGGATTTTCCGGATGCATTGTGCAGGACAACACAAAAAATACTGGTGGACCCCGTAGGACGGTAGCTTTTGTCGTCATTTCGCACGTTTTCTAGTTGGAGTCTCAGTCCCACTCACCTGACGTCCGTATGCTCCCCAATTTTAGCGTCAATCGATCACAGCTTTAACTAGTATGAAATTTGTAAATGCCGTTATCTGCCAATGGTAAGCTTTGGCAGAGATATGTACATAACTTTTTGGAGACGCTGGGAGACCTCTATTTATGTAGAATTCTTATCGCTTCACGACTTGTTTTATTGATAAAAATCGCGCATGCTAAAAGTTAGTAAAAAATCATTTTTATATAAAATATCTATGACCATATTGGAGATTTTTGTGGTAATTTTTCATTCATATTTTGAGATTTTATCCATCATTCATATCTACCCTACGTGTGGTAGTTTGCACGCAAACATTTCACCATCTCCAAAATTTTCGAAATTTTCTCAAGTTATTTATAGTACAACACGTCTAGAAACTCGTCTCATTCATGATTCATGCACCTGAGCCGAAATCATGTTCATTAATCATGAATGTTACATAATATGTATGTAGCATACACTTAAATTCACGTCAACATTGTTAAGTTGACTCGTGGACAATTAATAAAATGGCAGAGGGAAATAATAATCATGTAACAAGTAACGGAACCCACACCCCAAATTCACCACCCACACCCACCACATCAACACCCTACACAAACGGCATGTCCGCAGAGAACGGAGATGAACCCAAGTTAAAAACAACCCAACAATCGCCACCCTCATCAGATACGAATAATAAAACGAGTGATAAGATGGTAAAATGGAGTGGGCAGTAGTAGTGATGATGGAGAAAGTACAGTCGTAAAGGCTTCTCCCGTCACCCCCGTTGTCTTCGCTCCCTTGAACGATGCAGAACCAGGTAAAATGACGGATAATTGAAACCCAATGTATACAGTGTTGTTGTAGAGAAAGACGAGCTCATTGACACGAATAAAAATTCGACCCCTAACGCTACAGCTCCCACAATGGACGCGAACAACAATGACACTATCGTTCTAAAGAAAGCCGACAAACCTGCTGACGATTGTAATTCTGACATCACTGGTTCGGACAAGCTTAAAATGGACGTAAAAGTTGTGGACGCCACCATTGATAATAATAAAGGAAAAGCAACTGAGAAGAGTAAAACTGGCGTAGAATCCGACGACGAGATGAATCTGACAGCCACAGCCCCCGTTCGAGGCGTTAACAAACCTTTGCATGGAATTTTAAGTCAAAAGCATGCCAATGGAGAGTTACCTGAGGAATCACCAGCAAAGGAAAAAAACAATCCTGGTGTAGGTGATTCCAAAGAACCTGGTAAGATTTACTAAAATATATAGCGACAAGCTCAGCAGCAACCAAACAATATTTATGTATATAAACGTACACCGTAAAATAATACCGCTTGTTACAAAAATGGAACGAATGAAAAATTTGCTTGAAAAGAAAACTATTTTATACATAGTGAGCTTGCCAGGTTCGATTGGTCAGACAACTATGATTTACAAAAAGTGTATGCGTGTGAATTAATTTTGCCTGGCTCCATGTTAAAAATATTAAAATCTTTTATCATGTCAGATAATGTTTCTTATCAAGAAACACATTATATGTATATTATTACTGTTACGTGTGCAAGTTTCATACAATTTTCGTGCCTTCCTTTGGTTTAGGAGTCCTGTATCGTGTGAGGGCGACGTATCGGTACCAAAAGGAGGATGTGGATGAATTGTCGTTTGAAGCTGGAGAAATTATTCGGGTTATTGAGTACGAGGAGCCAGAGGAACAGGTCAGCAAGAACTATTTAACCAGATTAGTATTTATCAAATGGGGCACTCTTTGTTATTTCAGGAGGAAGGATGGCTTTTGGGAATCAAGGAAAATGGGGACAAAGGGATGTTTCCAGCCAACTTTTGCAAAGTTTTAGTGCACTAAAACGCATATTTGTAGTACTACATCCTACATACAGCAATTCTAATAAATACCGAAATATTATGGTATAACATATGGTAATATCAAAAAAATAATTCAATATAAAATTCAATAATTCAATATAAAATTCAATGATTCAATATAAAATTCAATAATTCAATAATTTAATAATTCAATAATTCGATAATAAAAATAATTCAAACATATGGTAATAATTCATCTGAAACCTGTTGAATAATAAGGATTTACAAAGGGATTTTCTCTACAAAGGGATTTATCATAGGAGACGAAATTATAATGTCGTAAACAAATTAACGGCAAGCGGAAATACCGAAATAATGCCATTTTCTCAAAACAAAAAATTATAACATTTTGGCCTGTGACCCCGCCTCGCCACAAGATCTACACCTCGAAGGGGACAATCGTTTGCTTCGTGGTCGGCGTGTTTCGTTCCGCAACAAAAACAACTTCTGCTCGACTTACTGGTTGTTGATATCTTAGATGATGATGATGATACGACGCTTTCCGCGTAATTGATACGACGATTCAGATTTACCGATCCGTCACTCCTATTGTCAGTCTGGTGTGATGCTACTGGATGTATAGATATGCCTATATGATCACTTTAGTATGAGACATACGACTGAATAAATTTAATACAAATTATAGTACAATATAGCTTACCTGTACTCGAACATGACGGGGTAAGGACGGGATGTGCACAGGGTAAGATTGGCTGCGTTAGTAGTTTTATTTTCTCCTGCATCAATTTATCCTTTCTTACCACTATTTTCTCGTCATACTGTCGTTGAATTTGGACTTTGTCTGCAATTGTTTTTATCGCTTTGATCATGCATCCGGAGACAATTGTCCCCGCGTTAGTCAAATATTCTATTTTTTCGTCAGTATTCTCTGAGGCAGGACTGGAAAAACTTTAATATTTGTATCCTTGAAAACTTGAAAAATTAAGGTATGTTTAATAAAACAATTACTAATTTTCCCATTTTGTAGTTGCTAGTACGGTGTCCTTCGTAATTCTAATTTCTTCTACCTGCTCCACAACATACTCCCTAAGAGTGTGATGGTCATACTCTTCTTCCTGTTCTTCTTCTTCTTCGTCGCTATAAAATGCGGAAAATAGATGTATTTACCGTTGATTTATTTCCCATGATAATTTTCATACTGAATTGCTCACATCATTTAGTCTTTTGCGTCAAACAAGGGAGTTAAAACGAATGAAAACACAGTACATAACTGCGTGAAGGGGGAGTTAAAACGAATGAAAACACAGTACACAACTGCGTTAAGGGGGGGCTGAATGAGCAAATATTAAAAACAACTAATCTTGAAATTTTTACCTCGGATGCTCGACCGCATAAGATCTGTTTCTTGCTATTGTAGTGCATGAACGGATGGGGTTAGCACGCCGGTTGATTGACCTAGGAAACATTTATTCATAATTTTTAGTCATTTATAATTACCATAAATGAATTTGTTCTGTTCAGTGATTGGAACATATTTAATCATCTACTAATGTCCATCAAATAAACCCTGTCGTGGCTCAGGGAGTCTTAGGCGCTGGGCTTGTGAACTCCAGACACCCAGCCTCGAACAAATCAACGTTTAATTTAATTTAACGAACAAACTAAGTTTAATTCCATCAACTAGCCAGAGAGGATTAAGCCAAAGCAGTGGTGCAAGAATAAATTCAGCGTTATCACATGCATTATCATCATCTCCATTCAAAACTACTGACACACACACTGAAGTCCATGGAGTTCCGGTTTTTAAACGCCAAAAAAATAGCAAGGAACACTTAAACTTGGACTCTCAACTCTCATGGTTCGTGGTGATTCCCAATTGACGTTAAATTCCCTACGAATCTATGGAAATTTCATAGCGCGTTAATATTCCCCGCCTATTTCGATCTTAAATTGGAAATTATTGAGACGATAGTCACAAGTGGTTAGGATTAAAATTAAGGGCAAATAATTTAATTTCGCTAATAACTTCAGTCATTTCTAATACGATACGGTCTGGCTTAATTTTATTTCTGGGAGAGGTGTAACGTATTGAAAGCTGAATATTTTCTTTAAGAAGTTAAAATAGTCCGATAACACTACCAGAAATTAAAAAATTTCGCCAATCGGAGTCAGAGCGCATAATTTAATTTAATTGACAAATATGCTTGCTAAACATAAAATACACAAAATAAAATACATAAAATAAATAAAATACACAAATAAAGTACACAAAATAATAGAAACAACATAACGGGTGTTCATTTAATCCGGTAACCTTTTTCGCTGCGAAAAGAAAATGCATGTTTTCCAGAAGTACTGGTGTGACAACGGCCAATCTTTTTTTAAGAGATACCTTAGTATTTGGTCTTTCACCAGGCCACTTCAATAATGCCTGAAATCCTTGGCTTAGACTCTATACTCATTTTTCCAAGGTTAATTTTGGAATAAAATTTCGCAGGTCTTGAACTTTGGCAATTATCCCTTCCCTTGTTCAACGTTTTGGATCTTGTGCACTTTTCCTTTTAGTTTGGACCACAGGTCATCCGTGAAATATATGCCAAGATTTTTATCCTGCCACCGAAATTTCCTAGGCACGGGTGAAACTAGTTTTTCACGCTCATAGTGGATTTTTCGATGTGACCTGTGGCATTGTCCTGTATGGAAATAATTTTTATGTCAATTGGAAATAATTCCTTGTTCTCGAAGCTATCAGAGCACATAGGTCGCATTTAGCACATATCTCGCATTTCATCGTGTTTTCTTATGTTTATACATTATTTAGAGGTGTCACACTACCCGCCCAAGAACACATGGTACCACAACTTCTGACCCACATTTCTGGACCCTGAATAATGATGGCCCGATATTTTGGCTACATATGCTGTATCTTAAATTTTGTCAGTGTACATAATTTTGATTAAACTTAATTTCAGATTCATCGGTTCAGAGGATATGATTACCAAATTCCTCACCTCGTCAAATACCCACTTTTTCATGCACTATATGCAAATAGAACACGGTCATCAATATTTTGAGGTGGCACATGATTTTTCTCAGTTAGCTTGTAAGTTCTGAGACCACATTATGCAGATTAGACGACATTTTTCACCACAATGCAGTATTTATATTCGATTTTCGTTAACTTCGTTTTCCGTTGTTCCACTCCCTTGCACCATTTCGATGAGAACTTTAAGTTTTCGCATGAAATATCGAAATGTCCTGTGTTTCCCTAGTAGATGGAACCCTTCTGGGTGGTTCAGGTCGATTTTCATCCATGAAAGATTTTGGTTCATGCATTGCCATTAAGTTCCCGCAGCACATCCATATTTTGGAGTAATTTTCCTTTCCCTTGGAATTTCCCGTTTCCAGGATGAATATCTCGATGATGTTATGTTGATGATTATCACTAATCTTCATGCCACCAACGGTAAAAATTTCAAACAAAAATATCAGCGGAATCAATAATTATAACAGATTTTGTTACCAGCGCCGGCCGAAAAATAAAGGTTACCGGATTAAATGAACACCCTTTATTAGAAAATCAAATATAGTTAAGAATTTTAAGTACCGTTAAATATCACAAAAAAATCCTACCTAGGGGCCCCCAGTTGGCTTTATCCGCCACTGGTCAAAATATCTATGCAAATGAGGTGACTTGCAAAAATTTGGATATATGATATGTACATACATATACGTTTTCATCTCCATACAGATCGCCGCGACCCGAAGATCTCTTTTCGCTTTGACCGTTGAAGGAAAAGTGCACTCGTGGAGATACTGTAATACAGAGTGGCGGACGAATCCACTCGTTGCCGAGTTCAAAGACGTCCAGGACATCAAAGTCTGTTGGATGGAGGACGTTTGTGTCGTCGAGTTGAAGAATAGCGTGCGTTTCGCTTGCTATATTGTTGGACTCGACATGGCTCGAGTTGTCGATTATTGGTGCGTTCCGACGGAAGAATGTTTTACCCAAATTTGACAAAAACACTATGGAACTATTATTCTGGAAAGCGAACAAAAGATGAGACCAACGTTGGGTGAGGATCTGTGGAGGAGTAAGGTTAGTGTTTTAGTAGGGAATATTAGACAGTTTTTAAAAATTTGAAATGCGTCTGGTCTTAATAAAGTACTCGTTTTACAGGAAAGTATGGACGTTTCATTTTCCGTGGAAGGGAAGGTCATTTCCGTGCATAAATTGATTCTCACGTGTAGAAGTGAATATTTCGCAAAAATGTTTAGCGGCGAGTGGAGTGAGGCGAAGAAAGGATCGTAAGTACAGAGGCCCACCACAAGAGAGTTTTCCCAGAACCGACAGCGAAACAGCAATTGCTATTCTTGGGGGGTCATGCATGCAATCTTGATCAAAAAGTGAAAGTATTTTTATAAAATCACTCAAGGGGAGAGAAAGAACTGCCAATTGAAAAAAGTTTTTAAAATCAACTTTTTCGCCGCTTTTTCGCCGCGGTTGAGGCCGAGATGATGAGAAACTCGCGGCCTCCTTCACTCTATGGTCTGGATGGAGGTAAAGGTTTCTAACTCATTCGCACCATGCATAACTTACTCAATTCGGCTTATGAGAAGGGTCAACCACTAATTTCAAAATTTTTCAAAATTTTGACTTACCCAGAAAAAATGTATAAATAATTAGGGCGAATACAGGTCAATGCTTTTTGCCACATAAAATTATTGTTTTACCGCAAAAAACACATTTATTTCCCCTTTTTTGAACTTTAGCGGCGAAAAAGTTAAAACTTTTTCCAACTGGCAGTAGTTTCTCTCCCCTTGACTGATTTTATAAAATACTTTCACTTGATTGCATGCATGACCCCCCAAGAATAGCAATTGCTGTTTCGCTGTCGGTTCTGGGAAAACTCTCTTGTGGTGGGCCTCTGCATGTACTTTTGGAAATACATACTTACTTACTTTTTCGATGGCTCATCGCTAAAACGGTCAAAATCAACGATTTTTAAGCTCTAGAAATTTATTTTAAAATTCTGAACGGCACATTTTTAGGCAGAAAGTTGATTAATAGAATTGGTTTTTGAAGCCAGTTGTTCCAATTTTCTGAAGGCTTCTTGAACTTGAGATTTCCTCCTTCAAAAATTCAAAATTTCTGTGTATATTGTTTCAAAATTGGCATCGCAACAAATTCATCGTCCAGAATTTTGAAATAAGTTCCCAGAGCAGAGAATAACAAAAAATGTACAAATCTTAATGAGCGTCATTGTTAAGTTGATTACTTATCTATATAATGGCTAAATTTTGTAGCGCGACTGAAATCAAGGACACGAAGTATGGCACCTTTGAAGCCCTACTTTTCCACATTTACCACGAGAAGGTTACCTTCGCGGAGGACGAGTATGAAAATATTTATGGTAATGAAATGACAAATCTTTAAATTGGAATACTGGTTTGAAATTAAATGTGCCAATTATTATTGTTTTAGACCTCATGAAGCTGGCGGATTGTTATTGCGATGTGAAAATTCGGCGTGAGTGTGAGCAGATTCTGGTGCGGAATATCAACGCGGAAAATGCGTTCTTTTTGGTTCGAAATGCTGTCTCGGCAAACGCTTTGGTAGGTACATGACGCTTTTTGTTGTAATTTATTTTCGTACGTTGGCATACGCTCTAAGAAAACTGGTATTAAATCATTAATGTATTAATGTGGTAGGAAATTTATTACCAAAATAATATCATCGTGATACTACCAGATTTTTAAGAGTGAAACTATGTATAAATCAATATTAAGTAGGGTTGCCGCGGGTAGCGAAAATGCTACCCGTTACCCGACCCGCTACCCGCAGCACAACTACCCGTACCCGCACGGGTACCCGTTACCCGCTACCCGTTATGACAATTAAGTTAAAAGCTAACCAACCTTCCTAATAAATTTTATTGAATCAATTACTTGCTCATTTGGGTTGTTCAGCAGCTTGAGATAATGCTCTGCGAGTAATTAATGCCATAATTTGCTAGATATCATTAGATATTTCGGAGACCAAAGTTTTCGGCTTACAATGTAGCTTTTTTCAAGCTAAACCGGGATTTCCTAGCGAATTAAATATATAAAAAATCCAGCCAAAGTTAGGAATTTACATGACACTTAACTCCCCGCTGAATTATCCGATTAAAGAAAATGTTATTAAGGGGCAGAATTCAAAGTTCCCGATGGTTTTCGTCCAGTGGAGGAAAAAGATGGGAAAATTTACTTAAAAATTGAACTTTGACGCTAATATTTTCCTTCAAAGTAGTCAGTCAACGGAAAGATAAGTATCACGTGATCCCTAATTTGTGGCTTGACTTTTTGATATAACTAGCCACACAATCTTGGTGTATATACATAGCTTTAAATAAGGTTACATTGGTAGGTTGATTGTTTGAAATTTATGATTTCAATGAAGTTTGCATTTAAGAATCGTCTATAAATAAAATTTTTGTCTTCAATCGGTTTGAGCTTTTTCACCGCACAAATTAAAAAATGGTCAGTTTTACAACAAGAACAAGTCAAATTAATCCAGATAGTATGCAAATTATGCTTGAGAAATGATAATTTGTCCGCATTTTCTGGACGTAAAAAGTATTTGCGGCTGCCGTAGCTGTAGGTTTCTGTAGCTTCCGAAAAGACACGCTCGCTATAAACGCTTATTGCTGGCGAATGGCAAATTTTGAAGCGGATAAATAATAAAATCATACTTCTGGAAATATTAGGCCTGATTATGAGCATCTAATTTTGCTTGTGCGGGAATTTATGGCGAAACTTTAATAGAAACTGAAATACCCGTTACCCGTGCGGGTAGTTCTCACTACCCGCAGATAACGGGTACCCGCAAAAATCGTGCGGGTATGCGGGTAACGGGTACCCGACCCGTTACCCGCGGCAACCCTAATATTAAGTATATTTTATGTATCCTTTTAGGATTTGGAGGAGAAAGTGACCAAATACATTTTGGACAACCGACTCGTCAAGGCAACCTTGTCGGCTGGTGAATTGGTCGATTTACCGGGGAGGGAAACATTCGACAAGTTTGCTATGGCCGCAAATCACCGTTAAATAATTTGCCAGTCGGAAATCATTATCTTATCATTTATTACTTTCGATTTTGTGGAATAAGACTGAATTTCTAATTTTCCTAATTTGAGGGACTTCAGAAAGCATTGAGGTGGCGAAATTCAAAGATTTTTTTTAAATTTTCAACATCTTCAATCATCATTACGCTACTCCTGCATAATTAGCAGCATAACTCAATGAAATAACTACGTACATATTTACAATTTGAAATCATTCGTTAATAGATTAGAAAAGTTATTCATAATAGTTAGACAACAACTGCTAGGAAATTTAAATTGTCGGCATAATATTGGTTGACATCGAACCCAGACAAATAATCTTTTATTCTACTTTCAACAAATATCATTTAATATTAATTATTTAATATGAATCATTATTACAAATACGCTATAAGCAACTAAGCTAAATTGATCGAAACATAACGAGCGAATAAATAAATACTTCGCACTTATACTTCGCATTATGTTGATATTGAATTACCATCGGTTTTAAGCATTATCGATTGACAAATATTTAGTTAGTCTAGTTAGCAACATAACATTTGCCACGTCCTGTCTATCCTTAAAGCTTATTTATCTTTAATCCGAACTCCATTTGACTGAGTTTTAAAAAACTTGTATTATTTCCCACAAAATTGAAAATATTTCAATTCCACAAAATGAGCAAACTCCTTATCTTCCGCAGAATCAGACATCAGCTTAATTTAGGGAACCACCTCTACTGCGTCTTCGCCACGTGGGACAAGCAAGACCGCAAGTTTACTTTAATTCCCATAACTAAGGAAAAAATTGTGTTTGCATTCACCATTTTGCAATTTCTCATCATCACGGTTCGAATACGGTCGATCGTGACAAGTGTGGGGACCCTGGCTGATAGCATTTTAGGCATTATGGTGACTTCCATGGCAACTGCGGCTTTCTTGCTGAGATGTGATCCATACCCGGACTACGTTCAGATCCAATTCCTGAATTATGTGTTTTGTTCGAAAGGTAAGTTGTGTACCATATTTATGTAAATTACTTTCTTTCAAATTAGATGGATACAACGAAACGTTTTAGATTTTTAATTTAACAATAAAGGTCTCCCAGCGTAAGCTCATAGATTTAGACCAAACCAGTGTTAAATTGACCCTGTCAATCGATCACAAATTTAATTTCCAAATGGCACTATCTGCCAATGCGCAGGTTCAGCGGAAATATCTGTATTTATATCTAAAGCTGGAATAATGCGCAGTAAATTAGGAAAGTGTAACATTTTCAAGCCATAGGGCGCGTCTTTCCCTTTTCTGCATGCAAATGTCTTTACAAAACCTACGCATTGATAGATAGTGCCATTTTCAAATCTCATACTAAAAACATTTGTGATCGATTGACTCGTTTTTGGTCAAATTCTGTAAGCATTCTTTGAGAGACCTCTATTGTTTTCATTTCTTCAGAAAAAGAGAGTTTATGATTTTTTATGCTTTCATTTACAGATGCCCAAACAATCACAAACTCCCTCCTTCTCACCTTCCTCGCCCTGTTCTTTTATGCCGTCGAGTTCGGAATGTACAGCATTTCCATGGGTCACGCAGTATTTACAATGTTCTTGCCTTCCCAACCGGGAATGATCAGTTCTACGTTTTTCTTATCAAACAATGTTTCCTTGACAAACCTCTTGGTTTTTGCTATCTCGGAGTTCCTCATGTTCATGCAACTTTCTGTTGGTGGGTGTTACAGTGTTTCGGTGTATGATAACCGTTCTCCTGACGGGTGTCACGTTTGTGTGGATCGAGTGCAAAACTTTCATCAAACGGTATGAAATTGGAGAAGCTGACCAACTCGAGTATAGAAAGGTGAGATCGAATTATTAATTTCATCCACTAGCTTTGGGAATGTCTACCGGGAGATTCCCTTTTTAGTAAGCTTTCTACGCTTCTCGAAACATAAATATGTACAGTACAGGTGATCATTATATTGAATTCATTACGAGGACCGTGCATATGTTACATCATTTAAAAGATGGATGGGTGAGATCGTGTCGCCTCTCCTCTACCTCTACTTTTAACAAGAATAGAATCGGGAAGGGGTAGCGTAGGCGCATAGTTAAGAATTAATAAATTTTTTCGATGACGCCATATGTTGAGTTCCCTGTTCCTATCTAAACATAATATTTGAAGAAGGAATTACGAACGGCATAAGTACTAGACTAGTTAAAAATACATAAATCGGCGAATCATTTTTTTGTGATTTTGTTTAATCTTAAGGTCCAGATATTTGAGAAATTACTCAACGCTTGCACCCGGGAAAGAATTTCCTTGACAACGGCCCTCCTCATCCCGACGCTACAAATGATGTTTTTCTTGGCTGCGATGAAATTCTTTCATTCCGGACAAGATTTCATGGCGGTAATGTTTCTCTGGGCATACTTGTTGGCCCTGAGCTTCACCCTGCTCACTTTTTCTGCCGCGGCCATGATTTATGGGGCGAGTCAGAAGTGGATCCTAAAATCCAAGGGAGGTGACCGGAAAAAATGGGACAGGAAATTCCATCAGTCTTTGATCCCATTGAGGTTGCAGTTTGGTAATAATTTCGTAGAAGTGCAGACCCCGCTGGTCGGCAGGAATTTTGCATGCGGCAAATGATGTCTTTTCTACTGGCGACTAAATAAATATAGTTTTGCACATGGATGTTTTAATAGAACGTGAAGGATTGATGTTTAATCGTTCTTAATAATAAATATTAATGCTAATACTTACATATTGATAATGTTGTTAAAATTGTAGGTATGTTATAAGCTGAAAGTTTCTAAATTTCGTCCCTAAAAATGTATGAACTAATTTACGTATCCATAAGAGAATCCAAAACTTCCCGTAATGCTTCTTAATTGATTTGCACATTTTGGCTTACTTATGCATACAAATATATAACGAATCATTTCTATTCAACTACCCTGTTAGAATTACTATGTGTTGGGTTTTAATGTAGCAAAAGTTATTTAGATTTATCTTTAGTTTATAATATACTAAATATAATGTTTTAAAGGTCGTGAAGAACAACATAATTAAGCCCACTATAATCTTAAGGAAGTTCAATATATGTAAAACAAACTACAAATAAATGTAAAAGGTGCGACATTTTTCGTTTTTTGATAAGCTCAGTTACGACTTTGCCATTTCTCAGGTATGAAAACCATGAGGAATTGTTTGATCCAATGTGTGTACCTGCAACAAATAGAAACTCACTGTCAACGGCGTTGTTTAATTTATCCTTGGTTCTACTACAATTTTGATTAACTTTTTTTGAAAATTTGACTCTTATACCTAAACGTATGTACCTGTTCTTCCTTTATTAAAACGATATTAGAAGCCACATTCCTTTCCTCAATGTAGTGATCATAGCAGAATTCTATAATTCGATTCATAGCTACTAAAAGCTGTTCTTTCGGGATTGTTAGGGTTATCTGCGTAATTATTAGTATTATGTTATTAAATTAACTGTAATTAGATATTAAAATGATAAATATATTAAGGTGTGAATCTCACCCGAAAATAGTCAGGGTACTCGAAGCACTAAATGAGAAACACAAATTTTTTAATATGTTGAACACAACTGTTCATATTCATTCATTCAATCGAGAATGAATGAAAAAATTATTTATTCATTATGCAATAAATTCGCGAATAATAATTAGTGACGATTTTTTTAAATTATGAAATTAATGAATATTGAAGAAATATTTATTCATTTCATTTCTATGAAAAAGGAATGAATAATTTTACCCAATATTAGTTTTTTGTTTAATACATGGGGTAAATTGAGAAATCAATATGCAATAAGGAGAATTTGAGCTAAAATGGGTAAAATATGAATAAATATTCATTTTCTGGTTTTGAATAACTGAATAATTGGTTCAAAATTTTAAATTCAATGAATTTTGAACCAAGGAATATTTGTTACCTTTCCAGGAAGGCAAGATACCGATTGTTCTGAAACAAGTCTTTCCACGAATTGAAATTCAGTCGCAAATTCCGGAAATGAGGCCATTTCAATACCAATCTACACATTGTAAAATTGGGAATAAAACGTAACTTTAAAAATAATGTTACCATCTTGAAAAGTAAATGCACTCTGAATTCCAAGGTGTGAAAGTAGAAAATATATAATAAAGAGTAAGCTTTGCTGCTTACATATATATATACTCTTAAGAATTTCATTACCAAAATGTTCACCGGGCGGAGTATCTATGTGACTCTACTGCCGTGGTAACTTTTTATTTACCGTGCAGTAACTATTTCTAACTATTTTTAAAGCTACCGACCCGGGATTGATTCATTATAACGAGGTATTGAAAACAGCTTTGCTGAGTTACAACAAAAACTCTTTTGCGGTAACAAATAGTTACCATTGTGTAATGCCATTATTACTGCTTGGAGTATTATTAATATAATTTGGTATTATTATCATTACTGCCTTGGGGAATTTTAATTATTATCGTGGTAATGATTACACTAAATTTGGTAGATATTCGTAAGCAGTATTTTATCAAATCTTTATCAAATTTTTATTTGTGTAGGTTAAAAGTATACACAATATTTATTAGTTAAAATTGTATATTAAATTTAAAATTTACAATTCCAGTTATTACTCCCACGGGATGTCCAAAATTGCGCAATCTCCACAATATGGCTTCAGCAAATGGCTTCCTATCCTTAATTCCTGATGTATCCCTAAATAAGTAAACAAGAAAGCCCAATCGAATTAATTAATCAATAAACGATGTTTAAAAACAAGCTCACCTTTATAGCTCGACCAGTTTCGCAGCAAACTTTACAGTGACTAAAAGTGAAATTTACATTGAAAAGATGAATTAGTTACACTTCGACATAATTAAATAAATGATAATTAATCTAATTACCTTTAAATTTACCTTTAAGAATCAACTTTCTAGCTTGAAAACAATTTTAAACACGAAGTAATTTTCTGGAGAGCGAGTCCTCGTTGTTCTTTTGCATGGTGCGGAGTGAGTGCGCGTTAACTTTATTATCGAGTTTACAAAAAATATTTACCGGAGTAGTAATAAAAATACACCGCATAAAAGTTTTAGCTAGTTACCCGCTAGCTAAATGATTTAATACGGCGCAGTATTATTCATATTCTCTCACTGCAGTATTAAATTAACATAACTTGGTAACTTTAAGTTACCGTTCGAGTTTTCCCGATAATACCAAACAATAATAAATGCATTTTTTGTATTATAATAAATTTTGGTAAACAATTTTATTACTGTAATGGGAAAATCAATGTTTACCAACTGCTCGGTAATAAACGACTTTGCATTTTTCTTACCACAGTTCTAAGAGTGTAGCAAAGTTTACTTACATAATATTGTAACATGAGTGCATTTACTTTTCAAAAAGCATGACATTATTTTTGAGCGTGTATAAATTATAAAAACCGTGATTGAATTATTAAATAAAAAATGTTACCATCATGTACATGGTTCCCTGTGGCTTAACTAAATAAGTAATTCACAAGTATTTAGTACTCTTCATAATTTCGGGAGTGATTTGGCAGGTAAATATTAAAATAAGTGCGTAAAAACACACCTGGAAAAAGTCCTGGGCATTGCTGCAGCTTCTCAAATGCAATTTCTGCATTGGTCTACATACGTATGTAAATGTATTTCAAATATTTGAACTAACTTTAAAACATAATGTTTCTATTGATTAATCAGACACCAATCTCACCTGAACCGTTGCAATTGTCTCGGCAAAAAATGATTTTGGCGTGTTTCTCAACATATCGGGGAGGGCACCTTGCACTAAAAGATCGCAATCAGCAGAGATTAAAAATTACGCGAGGAAAGATATTATTCTCAAAATTTTGAAAATATTGTAGACGTAGGTATGTATGTATGTATACACTGGTTAGAAATCTGATATAGTTACGCATGCACTGATCTCTCGGTACGAAAGGTTCTACCGCTAGGTGTTAAAATTATGTATACCCGTCCCTACAAATTTACCATGGATATGGTGAAACCTTAATACCAAGATATGTGCATAACTACGCGATACTACATATAAATACCGCTTTGGTAGAATCAGAATCATATACGAATACTGGTTCATTTTTTGCTGGATTTCTAAGAGTGTGGCCTTTATTAAACTGGTTACAAATTACCTAACGTGTTGCTCCCCATAATTCGTTGGGTCAAGGCGTTCAGTGCACCTCGAACCTAAATAGGATTAAAATTTTTAATTGAAAATAATTATTTCAGTGTGTTGCATACATACCTCCACGTTTAATACGTTGTTTCTATCGTGAATCAATACCCATCCCATTCTCCAACCAGGAACTAGAAATCTGAGGTGAATCATTAAAAAGTGAAAATTACACTCTTAAAAATGGTGTCACCCTCTTGAGCTGTAAATCCACTCTGAATTTTGTATTAAGTAAACTCAATATACTAGATCCAGAGTAACGTCGACTTTGATCAGCAAAGTTTACTCTGGATTTGGTACAGTTAATTTAATATAGAATTCAGAGTGGATTTACAACTCAAAAGGCAGACATTATTTTTATTTAGATATTATAATATTAAAATATTAAAATATTTTTAGCGCGTGTATGTCTGATTTTGCAATAACATTTGAAACAATAATAGAAACACTACCTTTTTGCTATTCCACCGCACGTTAAAATGGGCACGTTTTTACTCAAGCTCGCCATCGGATGAAATTCTTCACCTTTGAAAATCTATTGAGAATTTCGTAAAAAAATGAATAACTTATTTGCCTGCACAGCCTAGAAATTCAGAAATTCAGATATTGCATTGAAAAAAACTTACGAAAAAATCGTATATCTCGTCCGCAATGATGGGCAAACAATAACGGCTCGCAATTTGGAGAATGCCCAGCAAGTGTTCCTTACTGTACACCGATCCGCACGGATTGTTCGGATTATTTACAATTATTGCAACGGTGTTCCCGTCGATAAGTGATTCCAAATGGGCGAGATCTAAATAGTTTCAGACAATTCATATGAATTACATTATCTGTAAATCGATTTATGTATATTATCCCGATTAGAAATCATTATGTCTAATTCTACACTAATCGACAAAAGCTCGAAGAACGTTTTGTATATATTTGCAACTTTTTTTATATAAGCCTGCCAAAAATACGAGGGGCTTTATTCTGCAAAAAGATATGTGCCTAGTTTTCGAACAGTTTTATGCGCATAAAGTTTTTCTGCAGAAAATCGTGCCAAATCTCTGGAGGGGCCCGTTCAAATTTTTACTCGGAATATGCATATGTTTTTAATTAAATTTTTACTAATTTAAGGTCCCGTCTAGAAATTCCACATATATTTACCTACCTATTTCCCAAGAAGCCTCAGGCTAGAAAATAATATTGCATTTTAGTGCTGGAACTTTATTTTGTTTATTAAATTGCACTCATTATTTCAATTTTAAACACACCTTTAAGTTGTAAAATTTTGAATGAATTCCATGTCCTCTAGCCAGGGTCCTGGTTAAAAATTGATTTTTTATTTAAATTTCTGTCCATCACTTGTTAAATTCAAAACCCCAAACACTGATCGGATTGGTAATGTTTGAAACTTCAAATAATCGATCTGATCGGATATTTTTTAAATTAAAAAAACGGATCGGGTCGAGTTTCTGAAAACGTTGATCCGACTCAACTCTTACAGTGTCGGACAAAATTGAGCGTCCACTTTTTTATACCAGACTAAAAATGTCATAGCGACTGAACTATTCATCCAATCTCACTGTTCTTGACATCAAATTGTAGATCCACTAATACTCTTTCGAAATCAGTAATCAGATATTATATTTCCATTGGGGGAGATGTGAGAAAAAAATCTTGAAAACTAAAAGTCAAAATTAACGCGTCAAAATTGTGCGTCCAGTTGCATTTATTTTCAGATATATCAGGATAAATTAATTTCCTCGTCGAGATAACTTTACAAATATGACCTACAAACATTATTATACTAAATTTGATCCAAGGTATTGATTTCATTTGGTCGCAAAAAAATCCCAACTGCAATAAGTGATCATATAATTTTAAACTTAAAATGGGGGTCAAAATGGGTGTTTCCGCGAACGACAATTAAAAGAAAAATACAAATTTGCAAATACAACACGTCAAATAATCCTAGGAACCTAAAAAACATGCTTGCGTTCAGAACAAACTAGGAAAGGCTTGTAAAGAATCGTATCAGAAAAATATTTCGCATATTTTGAGAGGAAGATGGATTTAAAATCATCATTTTCAGCCTCAATACTAGCGGCTGAAGTCGATACTATGTTTCGCGAATACCTTACTTCTAGTACAATCAAAAACACCTGAAACGAAAAAAATCTTTCAGCGAGGTCATGCAGTTTCGAAGCTCATAATCTCAGAATTGTACGACACAAAATGTGTCAAGTTTGCATGGGTACATTTCCCTAACGATAATGTTATTCGGAACCCTGTGTTATATATTAGTTAGCCGAAATTTAATGTATTTCGATCCAATGGACTATATCCTGTTCGAAGGTATCGAAATGAAGCGATAAAATCGTAAACTCTGATTCCGCCCTGAAAGTACTTAGGTTACTAGTTGGATTCATGTCAAATTCTGAAATTATGAGCTTCGAAACTGCATGACCTCGCTGAAAGATTTTTTTCGTTTCAGGTGTTTTTGATAGTACTAGGAGTAACGTCTTTGTGAAACATAGTGTCGACTTTAGCTGCTAGTATTGAGGCTGAAACTGATGATTTTATTTCCATCTTCCTCACTAAGTATGCGACATATTTTGGTGATACGCTTCATTACAAGCTCTTCCTAGTTTGTTCTGAACGCATCCAGTTTTTTATAGGTTCCTAGGAGTATTTGACGTGTTGTATTTGCTAGTTTGTAATATTCTCTCTTAATTCTCGTTGGCGTAAACACCCGTTTTGACCCCCATTTTAAGTTTAAAATTATATGATCACTTATTGCAGTTGGGATTTTTTTGCGACCAAATGAAATCAATACCTTGGATCAAATTTAGTATAATAATGTTTGTAGGTCATATTTGTAAAGTTATCTCGACGAGGAAATTAATTTATCCTGATATATCTGAAAATAAATGCAACTGGACGCACAATTTTGACGCGTTAATTTTGACTTTTAGTTTTCAAGATTTTTTTCTCACATCTCCCCCAATGGAAATATAATATCTGATTACTGATTTCGAAAGAGCATTAGTGGATCTACAATTTGATGTCAAGAACAGTGAGATGGGATGAATAGTTCAGTCGCTATGTCGTTTTTAGTCTGGTATAAAAAAGTGGACGCTCAATTTTGTCGGACACTGTACATATATGACACCTTGACTCACCTGTACATACAGAATCCAGGTCGCGGCATCAAAATATTTTGTCCTCGGCTTTACAAAAAATTAAGAAATGAAAAATCAATTAATTAATCTTGGTTGTATATTTATAATAATATACAATTATCTAGCCAATTATTACCTGGCCAGGGCGGAAATACATAAATCTAAGGCATGTGTGCATCCACTGGACAATATCACGTCCTATCCAAAAAATGAAGAAAACTTTCATACCTCATTAAAAAAACAATTTCCTGAGCCTAAAGTTTTTGCACTTTATCAAGTTCGTGTTACTCTTGATTTTCCATAGTTTACTTAATTTAGAATTCAGAGTGCCCTTACTTTTCTAAAGGGTAACGTTATTTTTAAGAATGTAGAAAAATTCAATATATTTACATTCGGGCTGATGATGGTTTCAGGAGTGGTGTAAAATTCTGCAACTGCAGATCTCGCCTCAAAATACCCCACGGTCTGTAATTAATAATTAGTTTTACCTGTCGCTCATCTTTAAAATTACACATAAATCATTAATTAATCATAAATACCGGAGCGTAACCGTTGAACGTCATCTTGTCCAAGGCATTATGAACTGCTTCAATTGTTGCGTTGTGAGGCTTTAAATTCCCAAAAATTGTAGGATCGCCTAAAATTACGAAGTCGGAATCTTACAATTTGCATATTTACATGCCAATCGTTGGGATTTGCCAAACTAAAAATGCTAAAACATCTCATCTCATCTGCCTAATTATTTGCAAACAAGTTGTTACACATGATAATGACTTTTTTGCAGGCTAAGTAAGAATGTTGTCATGTTATGTAACTTTAAAGTACTACCTGTCATTGCAGTGTAAAATTTGCATAATTGCCCAAACTCAGAAGATTAAACCGGTTTATACTTAAAATGGTGAACCATGACCTAACTCGTGTACATAAATCGTTAAATGGCATCATGCTGGAATTCAAGGTTTTATCTAGTTTTGCATATTAATTAAGACCAAACCTATCTCAAACTGACCGTGACTATGCCAATTTTTAACCGTCTATGTACCTCTAAACAAAGCTGGCCTTGTGGGAACATCAAATAAGCGCGTTATCAAATATAAAATATATACCTCAAAAAGAAATGAGACGTTTTGACCTATGTAAAGATAGGCAGCGCAGGATAATGTAAATAAATTCGTAGACAGAAAAATCAGGCCTAGTCATAACAAAAATTTATGCGAAATTGGGTAAAAAGCAGAAACGTACATCTTTATGCTAGGTATATATAAATATGTAGATCACTTATAGCTTGGATCGTTTATTTAATTGTGTTTCCCACTTGATTAAATTCTTAAGTTAAGGTTTGAAATAAACTCAATTTCCATAAAATCTCACGACTAATGCAGCAGACCTTATATGATGATTTTCATACCCTTAAATTTGAAATTTGATATTAATTATTCAGTTAAGAAAAACAAGAATATTTTAAGCTCTGTGTGTGAAAAATATGCAAAAAAATATTTTTGAGTCAAAATTTAATTTATGAGATATTCTTGTCAAATTATGTGCGGATTTGTCTCCTGATCAATTTGTCTCGTTGGTAAATATTATGAGACTAATGGCAAGGCTGTTACTAAATTTTGAGCAAAAATTCGACTTTTTCTTACCAATTGACAAAGAAATCATGTATTTATCTGGATGCTGCTCCATTTTCATGCTGTCCACGATGAAACGGATCGGGTTGAAGGTAGATTTCGCAAATTCTGAGGCACGAACTGCCCATTTTTTCTTCTCGATGACCAGAGGTACCCCAACGGGAGGCATCTTGCAAGTTTCTATAAAAATTAAGTTTATTTTACTTGTCAAATTTAGATATTTATGCAGATTTACTCGAGAGTAAATTTTGGCTCGATTACACTATTTGCAAAATTAGTGACGAAATATATCATCAAATGTTTCTATAAGAATTAACCCGTCTTTTACCCTGCAAATTTAACGATTGCTAAATATATATTTATGCAAATTTACTCGAGGGTTCAAATTTTTGCAGGCTCGAACTTAAAAAAATTGGCTCGAGGGATAAAACGTCACTTCGAAGATTTAAAAATAGATAAGGCTACATACATAAATATGTAAATTTACCCGAGGTTTCAAAATTGTCCACTGTTAAAAAAAGTTGTGACTCGATTACAAAAATTAGTGACGAAAATATTTCTTCACACCCGATCAAGCTCCTGATCTTGGATCAAACTAATTAATTCTTGGATACTCCGTTAGATAGGTTAGTCACTCGATTGGCCAATTAATTGAGGTATTGGCTCCTTTTAATGGACATGTAGCGAGGACGCTTGAGGTACATTGATTGGTTGATTTAGGTAGGAATGTGTTTCGCGACAAAATGGCAATGCTTTGCAAAATTGAAAAAAATCACGAAAGGTCTGAACAGGGTTGCGAAAATCTCACTTGTACAAAAATTTCATCTCACAATGGAAAGGTGTGAGGTGGTGATCTCGGATTTTGAAAGGCCAAATTTCAGTTGAAATTGTTGAAATTTATGAAATTGAAAGTTGAAATTCGGTACAATGATAATTAACCTCACGGAGACCCTAATTCTCGCTAAAGATTACCTTGAGTACGATATTTAATTCGTAACTACATCTGGCAGCAACCAATTAAATTTCCATGATTTCCTATGAAAGGCCAATATTTATTCAACCAGTTTCGAGTAAGTTTTGGACGATGTAGGGTAAATTGCAAAATTTTAAAGAGAAATATCCAACCTAAGTTATACGAGCGTAATAGATAAACAAACAGATACATATTTACCGTAAGACCTCTATTTATAGCTCTATTCTAATTATAGCCGGTCTCCATATATAGCCGGGTCTAGAGACCAAGATTTCAAAATTTTAGCCGGGTCTCTAATTATAGCCGGGTCCCCAATTATGGCCGGGTCTCTAATTATGGCCTGTCTTGTCCGCTGTGTGCCCGTGGATAGCCCATTCAAGAAAAATGTTGCACATTATGCTAATCAAAGAATAAGTTGAACTACTAATTTTTACCTGTTAATTTCAAGTTAATAATGGATATAATCATGACAGAAAATTATAAAACAAACCCTGCTAAACCTCGTTAAAAAATTATATTTAAAGTCAATGGGTTAATGATGGCATATCTTCCTAAATAAGAAAACTCAAATTGAGTCAACATGAATTACATATAGGCGATATTGTAACATGTAAAATTTTGGACGCAACGAAATTTAGCCGGGTCTCTAATTATAGCCGGTCTCTAATTGTAGCCGGGTCCGGGACCCTCAGTTTTGGATTTTAGCCCCGGCTATAAATAGAGTATTTACGGTACATACATAAGCCCTGACACCTGACACGAGCTAAAGAGAAAAATTAATTTGTAAGTATATTAGTACGTATCTTCAAAAAATGTCCCGCGACATGTCTCAGAGAATCTTAAACCCGATTTCGGATATAAATCCGGAAGAGGTCGGGAAAATCTTGTAGGGAAAGCTTTGGTTTTTAACTAAATACAATTATTTTGGTATGAAATTGTGAAATTTCTTTAAAATTTTGTTGTATTTGAATATTTTTGCTTCCTTAAGTTAGTTATTCTGCTATTTAAATATTAAATTGTTTGGTTGTATTATTTTACATTTTGGTTGGATTAAAAAAATCGAGTGGTTGCAAATTTTGGAGTTGCGAAAATTATTGGTTTTGGTTGGAAGAAAAAAAATTTGGTTGGGCACTATAAATTTGACCCATTTCAAATTGTTCACACTAAGAAATTTATACGGAATATTACGAAATATGATTTGAAGTTAAATTTTGAAAAGCTGAATTTTTCAATTTTTCCATTACGGATAGGTGGCAAAAAGTGCATTTTTCCCACGGCCCAGCTCCATCTGGTTTTAACCAATGGAAACCCTGCCCCGCATAAAATTAAACCGCTTCGTCCGCTTCGTAAATCTTAACAACAATAAATATTGTAATTTGATGGAATTAAAACGAAAACTTGTTCGGGTCTAATTACCATATTACGCGAATAAGAATTTATCTATCACAACACCTGAAAAGACATCCCATAAATCAGTCTTAATGTCTCAACATTTGCATATGTACAGGGTACTAATGGATACATGCATGCATATAGATAATTATTAGGAGGAAAGCCAGACAGTTTCATCGGTAGTTGTTAAGATAATTATTTATTTAGGCACTTTAGTACCTGTCGTCTGGAACAACTCATGGAAATATTTACTTTAAGAGGTTATCCCTCTTGAAAACCGGTCCGGTTTTGTAACAACTACCTGAAACCATTAAATTCAAAATATCATTCCAGAGCAATGAAACCTACCAAGTGAAGTCTGTTGTGAGCCATGACTTTGGATATAAATATAGGCTATATGTATATGCTGCCGGTTATACATATGTACGTATTTAGATATGTAAATCAATTGTTAAACTAATAATTAAGTATGATCTTACCCTACCTCAAAATTAAATTGGTTTAAATTTATTCTTGACTTTGTCTATCTCGCAGAGTTATTTACGTGCCTACTGGAGTACAAAGGTGGATATCTAGAAATATACACTCTAAGAAACCCGGTAACTAAGTTATTACCAGGCGGAGTATGTAAGTGACTTTACCGTATGGTAGTTTATTTATTATTGAGTGGTAAAAAATTAGTTAAGAACTCGTAATATTTTGAAATTAACCGGTTTGGTACATAACAAAATGTATTTTGAAATTTAACGACTGGGGTTATATTAGTATGTATGTATGTATGTATGTATGTATGTATGTACCGGTTTGGTACATACGTAACATAATGTCTACCACTCAATAATAAATTAATTATCATGCGGTGGAGTCACATATATACATAGATACTCCGCTTGGTAACAATTTGGTTACCGGGTTTCTTAGAGTGTATAGTAGCTGACCAATTTTATTAAAACTACATTGTGATAAAGTAGTAACCTTACCCTACAAATAACCATGAATCATGTTTAGTTTTCTCCACCCCCTTTAGGTCCAGCACCCCCACTTTTTTGCTGAAAACTGCAAAAAAATACTTCCACGCACGTGGAGCTAGCTTGCTTCCACGAATCCAATCAATCCATCTAGGTATTTCGGTTTCATTAGGATGTTCTGATGGAAGTACGTCCAGCCAAAAAATAATTTTCTGTAGAGGATGATGCTAAATGACCATGTATCGTAAAATTCATTTGTTTGAAGTTTTTTAGGTAGGTATTTTGGTAACTTGAGTCATTTATAGCTGAATAAATAGTATGGAGTGCAGCTCTGAACTCTGACCTATAGCTTAAGTATTGTCTTGTATACCAAATTATATTTTCGGTACGAGTAACTACGTTTTTTGTAATTAAATTTCGACTTCCAAACCATACCATTTGTTTGACTTTCTTGAATTCGTTATACATACATAAGAAAAATCAATACTTAAATTAAGTACTGAATTGAAGTAATTAAGTACTTAAATTAAGTAAATAACTTAATTCAGGCACGGGGAAGTTGTGAAGAGATAAGTTGTGTACTGTTATAATTAATTACCTACTTATGATTAGTTTTATTAATAATCATTATCATTTAATAACTGTTATAACTAATGCTATAAAATGCTGATCTATACATACAAAGCTTTCCTGAGGAATGAAATAACAACTTCAAAAGAGGCCAGCATTAGTTATTTTTATTTAAAAACCCTTGGCCAGTTGCACCTCCTCGGTCTGAGTAATAATTCATTACCACCGCTCGGAATGACTTCTCCCGCGTTGGTCATGATTTGTTGCAAAATTTTCGTAAAATTTAAATTTTATACATTAAAGTATTTAATCTGTTACTAGATAGCAATAAATTTTAATTTCGCGGAAATTCATGACACCAAATCCTAACCAACGCGGGAGAAGTCATTCCGAACGGTAATGAATTATTACTACGAGTGTAAAAGTTTGCAAAAAGTGAAAGCATGGAACGGAAAATCCTATCATATTTCCTTCACGGGTCCCTTTCCAGTGGGAGCACCCTCAGTTCGCTATATTTCGATCAATCCCTTTACAACTGGGCTTGTAAACGTCCCCTGAAATTCGATAAAGCCCAAGAGAAATTCAAATACAATCCGAACCCATGTTTCGTCTGGGGTCTTACGGAATTCATTCTTATACCAATCATAATTCTTGCCTTGATGCAATTCATATTTTCGGAGAATTTTCATTCACAAGAGGCAACCCGCATTTTGTTCACGTCCTTATTGTATGCCGCCGCTGGAACGTTTATCCTGACCGGATTGGGCGTATCCATTGGCGAAATATCGTTTGGGGCCGATATACCGCCAGCATTTTCAAGAATGCTGGACTTCGAAAAGGATTTGAGATCTGGTATGTATGCAACGTAAAAGTTAAAGTATGCATGTATTTATCTACAGGGTGGTTAAAATGTCACGGGGCAATGGCAAATTTTTCGATGGGAAAAGTTCAGAAATCTGTGGTCCAGAAATATGTAGGATGATTAACAATTTCCGTATTTTTATCATTTTTTTAAAGACATTTGCCTGGAATTTGATGAAGTTTTTATGAAAAATGAGTTCTCTTATCACAGTATTTTTGGACCACCCTGTAATTAATTTTTTTATCTTATGTTTGCATATTTGTTATACCCAGTACACTCTAAATAAAAATGAGTAAAATTTACCCAAGGTTGGGTAAAAAAGAGGATGACACAACTAGAAGGTAAAATTTGTCCAACGTTGTGCAAAATTTATCCAAAGTTGTGTAAAATTTGCCCAATGTTGGGTAAATTTTACCTTTTAGTTGTGTCATCCTCTTTTTTACCCAACCTTGAGTAAATTTTACTCATTTTTATTTAGAGTGTATAAATAAAAATGAGGAAATTTACCCAATTGGACAAATTTTACCTTTTGGTTGTGTCATCCCCCTTTTTTACCACAGCTTGAGTAAATTTTACTCATTTTTATTTAGAGTGCCTACCCTCTATCTTCCGGGGACCTTCTCTACCACCATCCATGAACCACCTCCGGATGTCTTTTGCCCTTCAGAACTCGGCAATCCTGCACATCTGCGCCGGTTTAATTATACCGTTTGCATCCATTTACGTAAAAATTGATCCCTGGCAGGTCGCAGAGAAGGTTCAAAGTTTCCACCTCCTACCTATTCTTGACATCCTTACAAAATCCACAATTTATTACCTTGTCTGTATCAACATTGCGAGAAACGTGTCATCCACGGTGCA